TAATATTTTAATATTTAATAATAATATTTTATTGTGATTAGACTGATAAAATTGAACAAAACTACATGCCTTTAATCCGAGACCAATAAAATGGCCACTCAGTTACGTATATAAATTATGTGTATAATATATACAAAGCATATAAATATATTATAATGAACCTAATCTATATTCAATAGGCTACAATTATGAACCACTTACCTCTGAAGAGGGAAACCAAAAAATCTATTTCCTTTTAATTACTGGAGAATGTCACAAGTAACACTTCACTAACTTACACCCATAACACAGAGTTTAAGAAATTAATTAAACGTAAAATAGGCCGTGGAAGCTGTCAATTAATCGTAGGATAACAAAGCGACTGTCTTGAAGACCGAGTCTAACAGAAACACGTGTTGTGAAACTCTCTCTTGAGCAGCGAGCGAGGAACTGGCCTGTAGGAACTACGAAGTCTGAACGACCTACATTCGTAACACTGTGAAGCATCTAACAGGCACACCTAGTTTAAGGACTCAAGTCTTCTCACACGATTGTCTCTCGCTTCATAAGGACACAAACGTCTTCAGCAATGCCGCAGACTGTTTTACCGGCCATCTAGTATAAAATTTCTCACAGCAGAAACGCAGTGTGGGCCTGTAGGTAGACACCGATGTTTCGGAGACACATATTGCTCTTATCATCAGGACAATTTGTTTTTCCGAAACGTTGGTATTTACCCTTAAGGCGACAAGGCGTTCCCACCCGGAAGACCAACATCGTCGTTCTAAAAACTGATTTAATTGTAGAGGATCCTCCGTGAGATACCGACAGTAACTCAGACGGTCAAGAAGACGCCTGTTTTTATGGAACCTGACGGTTTATTACTGTAATCACAAAATTCCGCTACTGGTTCCTATGTTGAGCCAGTTTAATCCAGTGACGCCCTCTTTAAATACTGTTCTATTTCAGTGTCCTTCCATCCACGTCAATTTCTCCAAAGCGGTTTCTTTCCCAGTGAGATTTTCCGACTGAAATTGTATATGCATTTCTCGTATCTACCATGCGTGCTACATACCCCGTCAATATCATTTTCCTTTGTTTTATTATCCCAGTTATTTTCAGTGAAGACAAGGCCTTCAAACTATGAAGCTCCTCAGTATGTATTTTTCACCATCCTTCTGTTAATTCATCTCTCTTGGGTCCTAATATTGTCCCGAATACGCTGTTTTCAAACAGCTGTAATCTATATTCTTTCGTTAAACTGTGAGACCATGTTTCACACCCGTAGAATGTAGTTTTCTTACGTGAACTGCATGCATTTTCTCTGTCACTAGTCACATTCCTGCCATGTGGTAGAAACGCTTTAGCGGTCTGCAGGCAATGTTGTGGTGAAAGCAGGAAACTCATTGAAGCCTCTCATATTCAAAACGACATTATTCAGGTTGTGTGAATTTATTGTTATCATCTTGCAGTTCTGTCTGACGACAGGTCCATATGAACAGGATCCTTCCATCCTTTTCTCGGACTGGGACCTGTTCATATGTTTTATAGGCAGATGATCCAGAAGTGGTTTGCCATTGCCTTCTTCTGTGTGTGAATGGAGTAATTGTTGGGATGCCACGGAGAAACCGGGGAAGCCCCCGGAGGAAAACTCCGCGTTGCCTAGATCACTGCCTTGCCCAACACAAGTTATAAATTCGGGCACCGCCGGGAATCGAACCCTAGACCCCAGGATTACAAAGCCAGCGTTCTAACCGCTAGACCACCGTGGCTTTAATCCTTTTTATTCTCAGCTTAATTAATGAATACGATTTTAATAGGGACATTCAATAAATTAGAATGAGAGGGACGGGGCATTCTGCCGTGTGTGGGGAGAGGGGAAATGAATTTGTACAAAATTGTAGGTAAACCTGAAGGGGCGATAATATTAAAACGAATCTTGAGAAGTCGGGTGTGATATGAAAGAACGACGTAGAAAGCGAGAAGGAATTTCAACTGGTCCTGTAACCACTATTGAAACTCACTAGGCGAGGTCAGGGTGTGTACGGAAGACTCAGTACTCGGCGCGAAAAACTCGTTTGACTAACGTGACGTAATGTGATATAGACCAGTCGTATTCAACCTGGGGTACGCGTACCCCCGGGGGTACGCGAAATTTAAAGAAAATATGTTATTTTATGATAAACACTGAATAATCAAGGGCAGATTTAGGGTTAGCCACAGGAGAACCGGACGTAAGGACATTCGATTTAGGAGCGCCATTTTTTCTCTCTCTCTCCGTTATGTAATTCTTATCTGGGCGGCAGGTCTGAACCACATTAATTAATAATTGATAAAATATTTAAACATATTATTTTTCTTTGCTAAAATATCTTTGTTCCTTTATTAATTTTTATGTGATACGCAATAATATATTTGTTATTTAATAGCTTGGTTTTCCTTTTTCTCATTTAAAACTTATTATTTAATACATTATTTTGGATGTAATTTATTTAATTTATTGTGGATGTAGATTATATACTATGTATAACATGAATTACACAACAACAACTTTGGGGGTACAAAGTTGAAGAGAAATTATATCTGGGGGTAAGCAAACAAAGAAGGTTGAATACCACTGGTCTAGACCGAAGAGACGCGACGGCCAACATCGGAAGACAGTTCTCAGTCCTGTTGCGTCTATGTTCTGTGTCTTCTTTGGTGTAGATCCTGCCTAGTATCACACGATTTTCCAGTGCGGATGAAGTCACAGCCTCTGGTTACTGCAGAAACGGGACGTGAGCTTTCAGTTAGTTTTGTTGTCTTTCAACGCATATATAAGAGACGTATTTTCGTAAATTTTTGTGCATCAATTTCAGAAGCTTTGACATGTCTGCTTCTGTCACTATAATAATATTTTTAAGGGTTTAAGTGGTTATATATGTCTGCTATACGTATCAGTCAGTAGCTGTGTGTGCCTAGCAGCAAAATATGTAGCTTGAAATAAATAAATGAACCACATGACCATGCTCGTAGGTTGGGATATAAACACTATGGAATTGTCCGTGAATTGTGTTTCGACTTTCGGATATTTGGCCTGTATATAAGTTTTTCAAACGTGTTTTGTTTGACGTTCTATACAAACATCACAATATGCTCCCTATCTCTCTCTCTCTCTCTCTCTCTCTCTCTCTCTCACCATACCCTGATTAGTCGTTTTTCAGATTTTTGTTCTGTACGCATTATACTTTTTGTGTACGTGTTTCTCTTTCTGTGGGTTCAGTCATTGAGCATGTTTACAAACATAATATGATGATTGAATTTTCCCCATCTCTCAAAAAAGTTCACACATGTCATAATGTTTAAGTTCTAAAGTGTATTAAAGGGCCCAGATATTTATTACTGTGTTCAAAACAGTCTGCCACCAGACGCTATCCATGAGCCAGATATTCACATCATAATTTTAAGATCGATTTTAATATTATTCTCCAATCTACGCCTAGAATTTCCAATTTCCCTTTAGTGATTCAGAATAAAATGTTATGTGTACCGATCTCTCCAATGTGTGCATTTATGATCGTCTTACCGAGTTGGTTACATTCATAATAAACAGTGAAGGGTACAGATTAATTCCATGGATCAGAGCTCAGTTGATCAGTAATTTGGCCATTGTAATTGCAGATGAGTAACGTGTACTTTTTTATGTTTGCCCTCCAAGTTTCAGTTTCTTAGGCTAAAGTGTGTCATGGTAGACGTCACCAAATTGCATACTTGAAGTCCACGGAAAGACTTCACCCGCAACCCATCCACGGGCGCGCGTTTCCTTTCCTGTTCGTCTTGTGACGTCGTACGCTTTTGTGTGAATCTTAAGCAACATTTAACTTGGTCAATTGTAGATGAGGTAGACGTTTGACTTTGCACTGTGATCTGCTATTTGCGAATTGAATTGACTTTAATCCTATTTCCCAGCTTAGTTTATTATGTCTAACTTTAGTGATATTCCGTTCTTGCGTTGTAACCGAGTTTCTGTTTGTGTATGTTTCGAGTACAGTAATTTGATGGCCAATATAACATCCTCCTCATGGAGGTCTACCCACCGTTATGAATACGTGTCAAATCGATCATGAAATGTAGTTCGCAACAACAAATACCAGTACGAAGAACCGGACGAGGTTCTAACCTGTGCATAAAAAGTTGGTTTTCTTATAATCCGTTTAAAGTGGAGAATCAAATGGGATTTTTACGCCTCTCTTGTTTCTAGGAGCTGCTCCTCCCTTTTGTTGTCTCATTCTTTCTTTACTGCCTGTTTCCTTTCTTTCCTCAACTACTTCTTTCTTCGTGTTTATTCCTCCGCGGCTTTCAGTCTTCTTCCAATTTTATTTTTAATTATTCAATTCTTTCTATATTTCTCATTTCATTCGGTTATCTCTGTTTCTCTTCATTCTCTTGAGTACTTTTGCTGCAGAGTCCTCAAAATATACGGACATGCAGAAACACAATTGGCCGTGTGTGGGTTTCGAACATACACTGCCAAGTTGTTCTGCTTAATATTTATATATATATATATATATATATATATATAAAATACTCTCTAAAAATGGAGTAAAAACTGTGTTTTGGTGACCAATTTAAAGAACGAAGAACCGGAAACATTAATATTTATGAAGTCTGAAGAAAATACTAGAACAGGTCAATATCTTGCTTCTGTTGATGTTACCTGAACAAAATAAGATAAAATGTATTAAATGCTATACATGTAATTTATTTCTGTTTGTTTTACCTAAGATATAATAGGAGTTACAACATTTTAAATTGATCCATATTGTTCACCCTTGTGTTCAGTGAACAGAGAAACAGACACACCGTTGACGGTAGAAGCAACTCGGATAAAATGTAAAGTAGGAGTTTTCATATCCCGAAGGCTATTTCGTTTCTGTAGTTTCATATAACTTAGTAAATTTTAGTAACCTGCTGTTAGGAATTTGATATTCGCTGTTATGCAAACAAAATAAGTTCTTGGAAGTACTTGTTGACTCCTCGAATTTTGTTTGAATCATTACGTAAAAGCTAGCTGAATTTACCCATCGCTACATCGTTACTACCCAGAGATAGCGAACACAATGTCTGATACAGTTATTTTTCTAGGCAGCGCAACCGTAAAGCTCATTATGGATCTGACCGGCTTGACGAGAGAAGTGTCCGACTATCGTGCTTTAGTCCGCGCCCACGTTAGTGTTCATTGTATGGCTGTATTGTTCAGTATAACAAATTCTCCTCAGCTATAAAGAACAGATTTAATTTTGTACAGTACGAAGAAAGGACAAGGACCCAAAGCAGTGGCTACTGATGGTCTTGGAAGCATCTGATACGTCGTTGTGGGTGTACCATTGAGATTTAATACTGCGTTATTTTAACGCGTCAAAATAACCATAAACGCCGCTGCCAGACATTACGTTTTTATACGCGTTTTAAACAAAATATATAAAATTAACGTATAATGCCTAAACACCTAAACTAACAAACTTTATGTGCGGAAGTTTTCTTAAGAAGTATGATCTTGAGCTCTCACCTCGACTATGTAATCTTCTCGGGCTATCAGCCGAGTTAAGTGGTTGAAACATGAAAAG